CTGTTTTCAATTTTTCTTAGCAGTCCCTTTTGTGGCAGGGTCAGCTTTTTAAGAACGGCTAGCACTCCTTTAGTGTCAAAAGGACCCCAGTTTCCAAGAAAAAGATCCCACAAATTAAAAAGAATTAAATAGATTATTTAAATAACCTAATGCTGTATTATCACAGCTCAGATTATGTCTGTCCTAATTCTTCAGCACAGCTAACCTCCTGTGCCATTTCATATAGCTTTCAGGTATGAGCCGTTTAGGGGTTTAGGATTCACTTCATGCTTTCTATTCTTTACCCCTTCACATCTTTTCTTCACTCAATATTTCCGTCTCCTGTCATTTGTGTGATACATAAGTGTTAAAAATTAGTGCTTATTGTGATCTGCTGTGCACCATCATCTTCCCACTGCCCTAGAGCTGTTATAACCTACCACAGATCAGAATATTTTCTTATATCTTTTATATAGGAGAGATTCCAGTTTTCAGTCATTGCTTATAACCAATACTTCTTTGAGATCAAAGGTCAGGAGCACTTGAACTGAGGAAGGGAAGCTTGCCATATATATAGACAAATTGCAAACTCTAAGGTCCCGTTATCTTACACTCCTCTCTGGGGTCTGGTTCAGTGCCATCCCTCTCTGTAAGGGAGATGTAACTGTTCTATAACTGCTCATTAGAAGAGCAAGAATGACAGTCTGGGAATTTAGGAGACTTGCTCAGGGACAGAAATTATGTAGAATAAGTAAAAACAGGACAAGGACTTTAGTTCATGGTATGTGTCAATGCTGAGTTTGAGGAAACATACCCATAGGAGTAAAAGACATTCATCCTTCTCTGATGTGTTTGCTGATATGCCCAACAATGAAAAGCATTACAGTGACAATGCTGATGTGGAGATAGCCTTTCTGTTAAGAGCCAGGCTGAAAAATAATTACTTTCCCACTGGCTGCCAAATGGCCATTTCCACAGTCACAGCCCATGGTATGTAGATGGAGGCTTTTGTATTCAAACTGCACTTGCAGACACCCTGCTCAGCCCTGTTAGGAATGCATACTCTCTTAAGGAAAGGAACCATGATGGTGACAGTGTGAGTAACTTGCCCATAAGGAATTGGTTCTCCTAATTCACTCCCTGGAGCTGCCTCCTGCAGAGGCCAGTTTCCACCAGACCAGTCCCTCCTCACCAAATGGCAATGACTTCTAACATCACAGCCCAAGCAGAAGCTGGCTCCCTTTTCCCACTCAACAGTTATGCTTGCCCCTCCAGTATCTACAAAGCTTGTGTTTACCCACTGCAAGATGGGCAGATCTGGGGTGGTCATGACAAGCTCCATGATCCATGTGCCTTCCACCCACACACATAGAGATGGTCTCAGCTCACCAGGTCCACCACCATCCCTTGTTTCTCCAAGCTGTCATATGCCTGGTCCCACTGTAGCCATACTCATGAGGAAGGTGCAGCTCAGTCTGAAAGTCAGAAGCCTGTTGAGCTCTCCCTTCCTAGAGAAATGTGCAGCTCTGCTTCCTAATTATAATCAACAGGCGGGGAAAGGGAAGTGGAAATCTTTATGACAAAACGTGGACCTGTTTCAAATTTGCCTTGCCTGCCCAAATTCAATAATGTTTTTTGTGAAACACTCATTGCTAATATTATAATCCACACTGGCAAATAAATGTACACATCGCATTGATTACCAGAATGACTGAAATGAAATTACTTGCTCATGTCTTTGTCTTTCTTATCTTGGCATATGTAATTTTCCACTCTATTGTACTTGCTCTGAACTCTGCTTTGAAGATTTTTTCCATTTACTGAAATACTAACCAGTCACAACAATTTATTTGCACTTCTATTGTGCTTGCCTCCCCTCAGAGAATATCAACACAAATTACAAACATCAGTGATTTTAGCCTCCATTCACTCCAGCAACATAATCCCCAGCCTATAGATGAGGAAACTAAAGCGTGACTTGTCCAAAGTCATATAGAAAACTCACTCCAGAAATCCATGGTGTCTTAAGGATGCTGGAGGCCATGGCTACTGTAAGCATGTGCATCAGAGATACTCTCTGTCTGTGCAGTGAGGCAAGCTCCCTGAGCAGGAGGTGTGGATTCACTCCATCTGAGTCTCCAGTCTGGGCAGTTCCATTGCCCAGAAAGTCTGACCTATTTGGCTGTCAGGCTGTTTTTGAAGGAGAGACACAAAACCTGAGCCTTATGGTATCATAATTTAAGAATTCACTGCCAAAAATAAGAACCTAATTCCTGCACAAGTCCCTGCCAGCTGAAGTTTTTCGCCACACTTAAGAAAGTGATGTGTACATCAGCAGAAACATAATTTCATTTTCTTTTCCTCCTAGAAGTGTCTACAGTCCTTCTATCCCTAACCTTCACCAGTGGTCTGGAAACAGTGTCATTAGACAATTATAACAGAATCCACTCAATCATTTTGGCTCAAATGTTGAACTTTGAATGCTAGGCTTATGATGAGGCAGATCTCCTCAACTATGTTTCAGTCCCTAAATAGCGAATATGGAATAGAGAAGACTTCAGTAGAGAGGTTATGTTCTCAAATCAAATGGCCAAATATAGATGGACAACATAACTTTTTAGAGTTTTTTCAAAAACCTTTATATTTCCCAAATATTTACATAGAAGTCAGCCCTATAAATACTTAGATAATTACTATGGAAAAATAATTTAAACAGCAGCTTAAAATATAAGCTAAAATTAAATACATAAAGTAGGAGAACTAGACCTTGTTTTCATCTTTTATGCCAAGTTCAGTTTGTTTTGGTTTTCCATTAAAAAAAAAAAACACTGTCAAAAATTATTTCCTTAGAAGTCAAAATTATTTCCTTAGAAATCAAAATTATTTTCCATTCATAATCTATTCAGTAAAAACCATCATACAGCCAACCTTTTTAACACAAATACCATAGGAGTTGAATTTTCAGTTGTTCTTTTACAACGTAGAGAATCACAGGGAATGAGTTGTCATCTTCCTCTTACAACTGAATTCACACTGTGCTAGTTTTATAAGTTGCCTGCTCACACATCAGACAAGGATCTATCCTGAAAATATAGGTGAATAATAGATTTGATAAAATATGTTGTTTTCACATGATAGAAACTGTGTAAATTTGATTTGCATTTATTTGACATTTCATTTGAAAAAAAACAGGAGTGAAACTTTCAAAATGGCACATTTCATTTCAACACTTTCAAAAGGAATCTTTTGCATTTTTTATTTTGAAATGGCTTTTCATATCAAAATTGACCTCATTTAAAAATAAGAGGATTCAACCATATAGGGAATGGGTTGTTTTAGTTAGCTACAAATTTTAGTTATGCCACTATGAAGCATGTCATATTGTTTTGGGGTCCTGCATCTCCCCCCACAAAAGGAAAAATGCTCTAGTTTGATGTCATTTAAGCTAGCTTTTTTTTTCCTCACAGTTTTTTGTCCCAGCCTTGGGTAACATTCATCTCATTCAACTTAATTCCCCCCAAATGCACCAGTGGAATTCAGATATTTATGTGCAGATGTCCAGGGTTCTGGCCTCTGCATCTGAGGTGGGTTTCATCCAAGAGGAAAAGAGAATAGAACCAACAGAAACTACAAAGGTACCGGGGTTAACTTAGAGTAAACATGTACACCTGATTATTAAGGAAATCTCCAATTTCAGTGACCATGATGAATGAGGGACATTAGGTATTCAGTTGCCACACACTGTGAGCATCTACAGTATGTAAGCATCTAAGCCATTTGAAGAGCCCCAAGGTACATTGCCTTCCTTCTGTCTGGTCTAGGGAGATACATTTCCATGGCCCCTGTCACACATACCTCTTCTAGGGCACCTCAAACAGCCCTAAAAATATCAGGGCAGGACACAGAAGCAAACCCCGCATGTTTAATCTAACCCACCTAACATGAAAAAACACTCCAGTGTTATCTTACCTACCTATTTTAACTATTTCATGTTTTCCTTAAGAAGAAAGTGAATTAGCTGGGCAATTTCTAACTTTTTCCATGGATAGCGCCTATTCAACTAGCTTAGAGCAATATGTATTTTAGATTGATAAAGGTATATAAAATAAATTTCATTCCATTTGATTCATGTGGCTTTGCAGTACAATAACAAGTGTGAACTTTGAATATTCACAGCAAACTCATCACACTGAGAGGACCATGAATGTTACACAACCAGTCACAACAAGCACTTCATGAGCTATTCATTAATATTTTGCAAAGAGGATAAGTGGGTTCAGTTTTATAATTAAAGCATCCATGCCAAATCATTTGCTGTATTATAAGAAAACTACTCATTATAGAGTCATAACAGCACTTCGTTTCACTTGTGGAAGCCCAAGCACTGTTCTAAATAGCATTTGGGGGATTCATGTTGCCAGCTTTAGGCATCCGAGTGAAGTGCCTAAATTAGGAGTCCAGTTTCCCTGGGCTCCTTGCATAATCCACAGGGAGAAAACAAATGGAACCAATCTCCCTGTAGAACACCTCAGTCTCAAACACCAATCCATTCTGCAGACTTTAGAGCCCTCCTAGCCCTATAGATGATTCAAATAATTAATAAATGAGTTTGTGGCTGCTCTCACGTGCGTATTTAGGACCTTGCAACTTACTCTGGGGTATCATGGTGTCCTAGGGTGATGCTATGATGCTTGTATCCCCAGTCACCCGTTTTGTTTATGCTGGATATTATGTTCTGTGCCTTCAAGACTGGCTCTGAAAAGTGAAGTTTTGTTTTGTTGTCAGCCTGCCCCACAGTCCTCTGGACAAAGACGATGGTACATAGCTTCTCTTTTTGCTTTTGCCTTTGCTTTTGCTCTTTGCCCTTGCTTCTGCTTGCTTTTGCTTTTTGCTTGTTAGTTTAGCTGGGCAGTACGAATTTTCCCTGGACTGTTTTTCTTTCCCTTTTCTTGGAACCATTTGAACCTGCTCTGGACTGAGACCTGGAAAACACTGAGAGTTTTGCACTTTGTGCCCTGCAGCAGCCATTCCCAGCGCCAGAGGGACCGATAACAGAGAGACTACTCCCAGGAGAGACTTTCTGAATTTGTCATCTCTTCAGAGCGGTGAAAGAGTTTTGTCATCTGATGTTCATTTTTTGTGCTGGGGAGTGCTTTGCCTGTTAAATAAACAGTATTTTTTCCACTTCTCTCCAAGGAAATTCTTCCCAAACCAGGTGGGGGGGAGGGGCCTTTGGAGTTTCCTTTCTGGGAGCTCCTTCTGGAGGTTTTCTCCCAAAATTGCCCTAAAGCAGGACACATGGCTATCAGATAGGAAGCACAAACTTCTCTGGAATTGCTGTGGGGACCAGGCACAGCATCTCAGACAGCTCTAGGCCTAAACTACATTAATGTCTGACTTCCCACTTCACCTCAAAATTCTCAGAAGTTTGTCCTTAATTATCCATGCACACTAAAAGGGAGCTCTGTCTTGAGGCTAAGTATTTATTGACTGCCTAAAGCTCTATTGCAGTGCAGGATTAGGCAGACAGGTGACATTCAGGAGACTAAGTCTCTTGGAAAAGCTCAGTGTGTACTGGTTTGGCAGAAATTCCATGGGAAGCCAAATGTCCCTCTTGCTGAAAAGGTTCTTTGGTGGCAAACGAAAAAGGTAATGTAACAATTTAACATAATATTTGAAATTCACTTCACTGTGTTTAGACTTGTTCCCTCCACAATTGCCTCCCCCTTGTCTGGACTGAACAATCCCCATGATGTAACTATGGAGGTCCTTGAGATGTGCACCATATTTGGGACAAAACAATGCTATTATCATACAAATGATGCTGAAGAGCCTGCCTCTTGTGCAGGCTACACTAAAAAAATGAATGAAAAAAAGATTAGATTCTGTGAGATCTGTCCTTGCAGGAACAATGTATTGTAAAGCAGATTGGCTTCATTTCCTTCAAAATCCCTCAGATAATGCAAGACAACGCTTTTCAATGGTTCCCACTATAAGCACTGTGTGTCTGAGTAAATGGGAACATGGCACACTTCAGAAATCATTGTAAAGAATTACTGTTTATCTGGATAAGGAAGGGTAGTCTTAAGACCTGATTATGCCTACTGATCCGAATGCATTGAAAACTCTGTTCTCATTTTCACATTCCTCAAGTAGCAAAACTTGACATCTGTGCAAAAACTGTCCCACCAAACAAAAAATATGGCTGCTAATGCAACTAAAAGGGCTAGAGTTTGTTGCTAAAGAAATTTTCACCACATTTTTATCTGCCCTTCAGAGGAGTTTGTGGTTATTGTTTTTTTAAAGTTCCCACAGGAAATCTCTGAGGTTTTATCTGCACTCGGAGGGTCATGTAAAAGGTTGGGGCACATTTGAATGCTGAAGAAATTATTCAGAATGCAGATTTGTAAACTAGGGCGGTTATTTACTCAGAACAATTGAGCCTGGGCTTAAAAGCCAGGAAACACATATACAGTGAGAGGGTTAGATGATAGCTCTACTTGCTCGCTGCCTATCTGTGGTTCTCAGCAGCACTGAGTATTTCCCAGTCAGTGACACTAACAAGGGATGAGGATTTTAAGCATCTCACAGGCTCTGACTGCTGCAGGGATGTTTGGATGGATCATTCCAGAGTGTGCATGCCTGCTATAGTTCATGGGAATATGGCAGTGGGGATATATCAGCTTGCACCTGGACTTCTGTTCCAGCTTTAAACACATGGCACTGGTTCTGACTGCTGTTATTTGTTCATCACTTTAACACTAGAACTGCCGCAGTCACAATTATCTTCTGTAATTTGATAGTATCCCGGCAACTATTTCAATTAAAGGATGACATCACCAAATATTCCTAAACAGTCTTTCCATCCTGTATATATCCCTGAAAGATTTGTACCTGTTTCATGGAGAGAAATGCTGAAGTCAATAATTTGGGCATTTGTGTAGTGAAATCAGTTGTCAACTATAGTAGGGAGCAGGCTGCAAACGGTGCTGATTTCATTATGCACAAAGAGCAGGTATTGAAATGATTCAGCATTCAGACTCTGCCTCCTAAAGATTGCCCACCACACAAAGCAGAGTAATATAATTGTTAAGAACGGAGGGGTACATTTTCAGAGTGCTTTGCTCAGCAGTTTATTCTCCTGACTCTGATTAAAATTAATGGGAGTCATGCAGCTGAAACCCCATGGATTGCTCATGGTTTGATGACACAATGCAGCTGCAAACGAAGGCAGGATTGTGAAGAGTCAGGTACAAAATGGCAATTTTTGCTCCATTTAACCATAATCTCTTTTCCAACTCTCAGCACATTAACCACTTTTCTGCTGATCATGTCTGAAATGTCTAGAACTAAGTGGTGCTCTTTAGAGTGCCCTAATTCAGCAGTAAAACTGAGACCTTGTCAATACAGCCACTAGTACCTATGGTAACACCTATCTTGTAATTCATTCCCCAAAGTAGAAGGAATTTTATAATGTGGATTGATGCAGGATGCTTTTCATCCTTTTTCAGGTTGCTAATAATTCCTTACTAAGATATGTGAAGGATTAACTCCTGAGAATGCCCCACAGGTGCTACTGCTAAATCCTGTTTAGTGCATTGCTCAATTAACAAACAATATTTTTCACTTTATGAAATAAATTTGTGTGATTTAGGGGTACAAAATAACTCTTGGTCAAAAGTACATTGTGAATGTTGTGAACAAGCTATAAACACACACTATTTAAAGGTGAATATTGTAAAAGCTTACTTACTAAAGTATTCCAGGAAATTTTGGTTAAGCCTTATTTCTCTTGAAAACTGAAAGTCCAGAAACCTTGTAGTCTGTCCTTGTTATTTGTTCATCCCCAAAAGCTTTTCAAAGCCAAATAATTTAACTTCTTCCTTCTCATTTTGACAACAAACCTCTATCTACCACTTTCACCTTTATCCTTTATCATCTTTAGACTACCTTGGACACACCACTTAGGACACTCAGCTCAAAACCCACCACAGGCTGGCAATGGAAAAACTTCTTGCTAATGTTTTACAGACACATTTCATATGGAAGTCTGTTTCCCAAGCTAAAATAAAAAAATTTTTAAAAAGTATATCCATATGATATCCTGTGAGGTATAGAAGTCCTAATGCTGGAAGCTGAAGCTATGCACTAACAGAAGATGTATATTCATAAATATCCAAGGATGAGTAACCATGCTGCACTGCTGATCATCCACGCAGTGTTTCTTCACTCACTGTCTCTGCTCTCCAAGCAGATTTCTTCAAGAATTAGTTATGAAAGAGATGGGATCTCTTACCAGTAGGTCAGTCTGTGTCACTTGAATTCAGCCCCATTCTTCTTGCAATATACATAGTGCCAGTTTTTTCCTGAGAGTTTCAACAATGGATTTCTGTGATCTGCTTATTAATCCACCTCGATTCCCAGGAGGAGTAAGTGCACTTAAAAAGTCATTTATTTATGAATCTAACTACATTCAAATGCTTTTAGAAAGGTTGCTTTGCAACAGACTTTCCTTGCTCATACTTCTCCATATAGAAACATGAAGAATTAAGACTGGATAAAAATAAAAATCAACAGATCATTTTTTTGTCTTAAGGCTCATATGCCATGACTATCACCCAAGATTCCAGACATTACTCCAGGGATCAGAATAAGAAAAATAATTGCCAACCTCCTTGAGCCTTTTCTGTGCTACAGATGCACATCTGAATCTCTCTGGGCCACTTCACTTACAGCTAATACAAAGGGAAAAGCAGGAATTATTCTGAGCTACGGAAAAGAGAAAATACTTCCCATCTCCAGCAGAGAACAGACACACAGTTAAAACCCCCAGGCTCTCAATACGAAGACATCAAAGAATCACTTCCAAAACATAATCCAGTTGCCAAAGATTTGCACTAAGAAATCCCCAGGAGCTGGTCATGCCAGGAACAGTACCATTCCCCATCCTGGATCCTGTCCTTCGTGACAGGGCATGGTGTGAAGCTGCACAGACTGCACTCCCAAGTCTGTAAGGGAGTCATATTGGTCAAAAGGGAAAAAAGTCTCAGTAGTCTGCAGACAAAAGCCCAGGTGCACACACATCTTTCGTTCTACAGAAACCTGACTGTCCCCCATTCTGGAAAGCTGCAGATTCTTCAAAAGAAGAGAAGACATAAAAGGAATGTTTTGCAGATAAAGAGATCTTTCACAACTTCCAGCTGTTTTTTACTCCTTCCCCATTTTTAAAGGCATGGAATTTAGCATGAATATGAGGATTATTGTTATATCTTCCCTTCCTCACATTGAGGTTTCCAAGTTAAATTACTGCTAGTGAAAAGCTGGGTGGCCCACAGAAGAAAACCACTTTATTAAGAGCTAACCATTTTAAAAGCCAAACTAATCTTTTCCTTTTTCCTAATCTTTAAAATAGAGCAAAATGGAGATGCAGAAAATCTTAAATCAAGCTGCAATTTATCACTCCAAACTTTCCTGAGTTACAAAGACTCGGCATCTTTAACGTCACTGTTTCTTGGGGGTATTTTTCATCACAATAAAACAATTCAGCAGAGAATGTTTCCATTCAAAATATTTCAAATTGCATTCCTGTAAAATGTATAAAATGTCCTGCATTATGCATAAGAAGGATTTGTACCTCAGTTTTGCTAACATAAAACAGTATTTCCAGCATAGGCAACTAATAGAACAGGTTAATGCTCTGGGGTCTGTTCATAACACAGATTATAATGATTTGAGTAGCTTGTGCATGTGCTTCCCACATAAACCTGAGCTATTTTCATCAATCTTTCCAACAATGATCTTCCATCACATGGACAATGGCAGCAATCTTCCATCACCTGGGTCTTTCCAGAGCATTCTTTTGCCCTCCCTGATTACAGATCAGGAGCTAATTAACTGAGTCACATAGATGCATGTAAAATGAGCCAAGAACCCAATAGGTTAACCAAACTACAGCTCACTAGGTAAAGGCACAAAATTTATTCCCACCCTCTGCTGCAGAGTGTCCGGCACTGAGGAAGTTGCTTGTCAATGCACCCACACCACACTGCACTGAGGGGCTCGTCAGGAATTTCTAAGCAAGCTGGGTCATTTCTGTGGCAGAGTGCTTGCACCCTGGAAGCCAGTTAGCCACATTAGCAT